TCTCACACTCTCACACACTCTCACACACACTCTCACACACACACAGAGAGAGACTCTCACACACAGACAGACAGACTCACACACACACTCTCACACACACACACACACAGACAGACAGACTCTCACACACACAGACTCTCACACACACACGGCGCGAGTGTAGGATTGTGTTTAGTCACGCGTCCGTTCTCTTTCGCTCGGACCACGTCTCCATGGAGACCGATAGTGATCTGTCGCCGGTTCAGTTTCCCCCCGAGGGAGGAATTGGTACAATACTCTCTTTATGAGCCCGACAGACGCTTTATGATGTTCCGCTTTATTATTGGGCTTCAGAAAGCGAAGGATTAAAGGAGACGAGTTTAGCACCGAGTACTTAAACCCGAGTCACACCGCCTGACATCTCGTGTGGAGGCTGCCCCAGACCTGCAGCAGCAGCTCGGACTCAGTGCTGGCGGTCAGGGTTTGCGTTCAGCTGACCAGATTGCTCGAATCACTGCCGGGGACTATTCAGAGTTCCAAAACCTCACTTCTGATCATCTACAAAAATAAAAAACGGGGGAAAACTGCTTGTTTTTTTTAATAGTTGTGGCTTCCACATAACTAATAATTACAGTGATGTTTGAGGATCAAACTTACCCTAGTTTTTAACACAAGCCACCAAAAATCACACTATGAAAAACAGCAAACATATTAAAACAGTATTATAACAAAATTATGGCTTTACAAAAACACATATGATGAATAAAACCGCATTGAACAAATATGTTTAATATTTTCTATAGTATAAAGTAAATATAACTCTTCAAATGTTATGTTTATGCTTTTGGAAGTGGATCTTGTCTATCCCTAATCAGGTATTATTTCGCATTTTAGGCTCATTTTGACCAGAAAGTGATGAAATGTAACCGTGCGAGTGTAATCGATTAGTTTATTATTGATATCGGAGTTCCCCGGAAAGCTAGTGATAGCTGAAGAAACGCTCACAGGTTTCACGATCCTCATCACCACATGCTTAACTCAAACTCATAGTTATATTCATATATTCATACATATTCCTCAACTACTATAAATATATCTGACTTTATCCACACTCACATACAACGATATATAGCTAGTTAACGAAAATAACTCTCTGGCCGATGATAGTTACATTTTGCGACGATATAAACAATCATGCAAATTTATTTTTTGTTTTTTAAGTTCAGCCAGAACTGAAGATTAGCTGTAAATATCCTCATCCTCAGTTCATCTGAGATCAGGATGAGAGTGTTTCTGCATCAGATCTGGAGGAATGTAGCACTGCATCAGTGTCTCACTGCAGTGAATGGGTGCCGTCAGAACGAGAGCTGATAAAAACATCAGCACAAGTAATCCACAGCACTCCAGTCCATCAGATAACATCTGGAGAAGACAAAAACTGAAACTAATCCAACATTAAGACGTTTGTAACTAAAATACATTGAGTCCATAATCCATAATAACTCTTCCTCCAG